CTGTAATTTGAGCCCCTGTACTTGGGGATTAATCCTATTATTTTTTTGTAAAAGAAAGAAGGAACGCTATAATTTACCAAAAAAAAACTATTTTTCAATCCTCGCATGCATCATGTAGTTCGAGTACGGTTGGCTTAAATGTGAATCAAACATTGACAATAGATGTTGAAAACCTCAACTTATGTTCATGCAAGACTGCATCGTTCTTCTCAAATGTTGTTGCAAGTTGTATGCAAGTATTACTAATATTTTGAAATATGGGCCGCTTTCTCGAATCGGTCAAGTTCGATTTTTATAACATTGAATGCTATATACATGCATGTTATATATGTTACTATTGAATATCGCAACTATATATGCGCATGTTATATATCTAGTCAATGTACAAAACAAGTAAATAGAATCTTGGAACTAATCTCGACAAATTTTTATTTATTTTTTCAATAATGCATATCATTCTTCAACTAGTACCAATAAAAAGTCTTCATATCTACACGGAGAGCTGATAACATAGATTTTTCTGGTAACCACTCCATGAATAAAATTCATAATGATTCAGAAATATTCTTAATTAAGATGTGAAATGTTAGTACTTTGAATATTTTTTTTAATCCAAATCATTTAAAAACTCGTAAAAATTAAATATTATAACCACACTTGTAAAATACTAGACTTTACTTATTTTTTAGGCAATGATGAAGAAATAATTTTTATTCTATTATAAAATATCACAAAATTGAGATGCCAACAACTACATTCTTAATAAATTGGACCGAGTCATTTTTCTTCACTACTTTGAATTCTTAATAAATTGGACCGAATCATTTTTCTTCAATGCTTTGAATATTCCAAATTGAATTAGTGAAAAAAACATTCATGTAGTCCTAAAATTTATTGGAAGAAAATGAAATTGACCCTGAAAATGATTAATTAGTAATAGCTGGGGATTCAGGCAACAAATGTTGTGATTACATATATAAATAACCATCTTTTACGAAGAGTCTAAGATCATAATTTCAAAACCAACAAATAAAAAATAAAGAAATTTGGATACTTGAGCCAAAATAATATTATTAGCCCAATTATCTAATGAATAAATCACCATCCGATACCCTCAGAGCACATCTCCAAGTGGTAAAAGGGGAAGGTAGAAAAACTCTAACTTTACTTGAGGCTGTCGCGTCAAGGGGTCGAATCCTGAAATATGAATTTGGTCATTGAATAAATGCAAGTGTACAAGTAGCATTCCACCATGTACCCTTGAAGGCATAACCTGCAACTTACCTCTTTCACCAAAGGCCCAGAGTAGGCCACCAAGGATGCAGTTCATCATTTTTAATAAATCACCACAAGCAGAGGCCACCAAGGATGCAGTTCATCATTTTTAATAAATCACCATCCATTTTTATAGTGCAGTAATTAATACGACTTTACCTTCAATTAAAGCATAATTAATTATTAATTATTATCATAATTAATTATTAATTATTATCCCTACCTTTTAATTTATACTGATATTTCAAAATGGTTCCCACTTAAGTGTATTTATCTAAAGTCCCCTGTGCATGAAGAGGAAATTCTTGGACCTGTAATTACACCAGCTGTAAACAACACAATGGAACTGCCTTCCACAAATATAACGAATTATAGCACAAGAAGTAACATACTACAAACCCCTTTGAATAAAAATATATATTCCATTTATCACATAAAAAAACACTATCATACACGATAACTCGAAATCATTAACAAGTACATAGAGGTGACAACAACCATGCTGAAAATAATTTATACAAGCTTGTCCATAATTTTTCTTAATTTGACGTACGGATAAGCCACTATTAGGGAACATGTACTAGGAAAAATTACAAAAAGAGAGAGATTGCTTCATGGTACTCAGTTTTTCCATGAAAAATCATCTTTCAGTACATGTTCCCAATCTGAAGAGGAATTATCATACCATCCTGAAGAAAATTGATTTATCAGCATGTCATTAGTTAATGACTGGATGACCACCTGATCATTTGTGACAGGGAGATGGAGCTCTTTCCCAGATTCATATCCACGCGCGTCAACAAAAGAGCCAAAATTTCCTTCATCCAGACTGCCAGTTCGTAGAGGGAAATAAGGTTTCATGTCCACATTTAAGTTTTCACCTTCTGATTGGTCTTGCGTGCATGGCCCGAGGTTTTTCTTACCCATATACTCAAAATCATCCTTCATGGGCTGTTGTTCATCTTCTATATTTATTAGTCTCGAGTTGTCATTCCGTGATTTCAACATACAGAATCTGTCCATGACCGATGCCTCCACATCATCACCGTTGTTATGGGCAGGGGTTTTCGAACCTGCATGCTCACAATCAACCATTTCTTGCAGTTCCTCTTCTGACTTTACTGAATCTTTGCTGTCTTTCCGAGATTTCAATATATGGAATCTTTCCATCACAGACACAACATCATCAGCATTGCCACTTGTACTAGGAACAGAAGCATTCTGGAACACGAGTTTCGGAAATGCACCATCTTGATCCGCAGGTGGCCGATTGGATTCTGTTCTTGGATTAGGTGAATTCTGAAATTTCAACATCTTCTCAACAACCGCGATGTTTCCTGTGAACATTTACAGCTTTCAAATCAATGGAAGGGATGACAATTTCAGACCAAAAACCCAAGCCCAGCAGTGCGGCAGGGTTTTGCTGCCCTGCTTATATAGTTTTATTTTAAAAAATTGAAATTTGTTAAAATCCACCTTAGCCCACCTTTTTTTACGCCCAAACCAATTACCCAAGCCCATTAGCCCAATTCCTAAATCACCCTACAATTTACAAGGAAAAAAATATAAAAAAGATAGAAACGGGGTGGGGGATTGCCAGGAGGGGATAGGGCGGGGCAATCCCTGGATGGATCGCCCCACCCCATTGCCACCCCTAATTAATAGATGGCAAGATTACAACAAAAGCTTCACCAAAAAGTAAAGCCAACCTTCTTCCTTGTTGGATTTGAACTTTTCCATTTCAATCTTCATGTGATCGAAGCGAGCTTTATAGCTGATGGAACATAATTTAGCCTCTGCCTCGAGCCACAAGTTTTTAAAGAGAAGCACTTGCGGTTCCATTTCTTCATCATAGAGGAAATTCTCTTCGAGGACCTTCTTTATAGCCTACAAGCCAGAACAATGCCTAATGAATATTTGTGTACATGGATGTGGTTTTAATTTTGTATTTTTTCAAAACAATGATCCTCACAAACCTACTATTAGAAGCTAATTGCGTGTTTGGTATACAACATTAGACCCCACGGTACAATGGACAAGATTTTAGCTTCTTTCTCTTTCACAATGTTGTTTAATCCACCATACCAAACATGCTATAAGAGCATACCTGGGCCATATTATCGTCTGTTGATAAGTCCGCATCACCCCTTAAGGGTGAAAGAAGTGATGAACTCTCAGCTTTCTTACCAGGAAAAAGGTCACCTCTCTTCTCTTCATGAAGTTGCTGATAATCTAGATGTGCATGAGAGTTCAGAGCTTCATTTGTAACTTGAGGCTTGCCTGCAAGAGTAGCCTGATGAAAGGAATTATTTAGCTTATTTCTTAAAGAAAGATAATGCTTATACAAGAAATTCAAAAATCCCAGAAACAGGCTACGCTATATTCAGAATGATTTAAGTTATTTGTAAACAAGAATTTATAAGAATGAAGAAAAGGAAAAAAATAAATAGATAAAATCTAGCATGATTATTTATTTCTATGCAACAGCTTTGCAGTGTTATCTCAATAGCAGGCTAATTGAGTCTGAATATCACATAAATGGCATACCATATCATGAGTATCCACAATTTTACCCGAAATGTCTCCTGTGGAAACAATTGGATCCTTGTTCAGAGTTCTATGAACAATTTTCCTAGTCATACATGCCTCAAGATTGCTGATCACGTGCTTAAGGGCATCAAAGTTATGTTCTTCCAGAGCAATTGCATCACTTTTAGAATTCTTCACAAGCAACTCTGAAAGAGCACGGATTGCATTAATAATTGATTGAACATCCAAATTTGGATCAGGGCCTTCTTTTGCAACCTCAGAGGCATCTTCCTGTGAAGAAGGTGAACACAAGACGTTTTCTGCAGCATGAAACGCAACAGCGCCACCTTCGGAAGAATCATTAAAGGTCGTCACAGAATTAGCAGTACTAGCCTGTAAACCAAGCTTTCTATATGGGATATCACTCGCTTCAGCACTGGAATGCTTTGCATTGGTTATTTTCTGGTCATAACAACTCACTGAGTCGTTCGGGGAAAATTCTTTTCTAGGCTTGTGAAGGGGATTAGATATCCCAACTCCTTTTCTGCTATTCATAGATGAAATCTCAAATCCATCTTTTAAAGCATCTGTTGAACTCTCTTCTATAGTTGGACATTTAGCATCACAGTTACTCTCAGAAGAAGGAGGCAGTGGCATGATATTTCCTGCACATCGATTTTCGTCACTCTTATGGCCTTCAAATTGCTTTTGAGAGGAAGCTCTCTTGGAATCATCTAATGAGAGGAAAAGCTTATGCGTTTCATGATCAAAATCATAACATTCTTCAGATTTCTTCTTAAAACAAGGCGACTTGCCAACTTCAACATCATCAAATGCCAAAAAATGAGAAACTGGTGCTCCTTTCCAACAGGGCGAGTCAACTGCAGGAGCATAATTATCTAAGCAATATGAAGAATTCTCAATAGGCTTCACAACTTGAACACTGTTAACAGCCAAAGAGACGTCATTTGAGACATTTATATCAGGCAGATGAGATCCACATCGTGCTTTGATTTTGTTATCTAAGATTTCCTTAGAATGCACTTGGCTCGACAATTCCTTCACTGAAGGCGGTGTAAAAGGTATGTGATCATTACCTTTCTTCTGAGATGTGAATTGGCCTGCATCAAAGGAACCTTCTATTGGTCCTAGGTACAGATCATTCTGTTTTGCTCTATTACTGTCATCAAATTCGGCCTTGAGGACGCCTGAAATATTGTCAACGTCCACTGTTTTATGAGTAGCATTTTCTGCTAATAAACTGTTTCCGGCAGGTGGAGGCCTAAGGACCACAGCTGGTGTAGATCTTGTTACTGATATAGAACCATTAAAGGATGATTCAAGGGGTTGCAAACATTTTTCATATGGACTGTTCTGCTTTTGATAGTCTGTGAAGTTCCTAAACCCTTCAAGAGACGGCTCTAGAGGGCAAGATTCAGGATATGCAGAACCGGACATCAGCTTGGGCATTCTAGAAGATTCATAAGGAAGGAAGCTAAGATTTTGCTCCAAGCATGATCTGTCATCCATATGTCCCACTGTTGAAGATCCAATATGGCTTTCTCTTCCGGAAACATGACTGAGTTTACCATGTGATATACCAAAATCTTCTTTACAGTTGTTCCCATATTCAATACTATGAACTCCTACATGATAGCAGAAAGTGTGTGTAATAGAGAAAAAGAGGGACAGATATCCTTAAAAAAAGAAAATTTTGGGTGATGTTAACGAAACTTTGACATGAAAAATAGATCAAATCAATTAAAATGAATAGATTGTACAGTGGCAAGAAAAATAAACGAGTATGATGTACGAAGTTCGTAACAAGTGAGAGAAAACAAAGAGATATAATATAGACAAAAATATCGCTAAAACATTTACGTTCTGAACAAAATCAGATATACATGTATGTTTTAATGCTCTTATCACACATTTGACCCGAGACATGTGAAAAGATTTTTCTCATATTGCACTACGCATTTTCAAAATCCTATCTCAATTAATTAAACATTATTATATTTCCCAGCTGCCAGCAGAAACACAATTCCTACATGTATGACGAACCAAAATCTTCAAAAGCCCATATGCAGTTAGAGATACAGCTTCAACTTTCATGCCTCCCTTAGCCAATCCTAAAAATGAATTAATAGGACTCTTTCATTTATCTACTCGCTCATACTATGACAGTGTGATACTGATGTTACGAATTAATTTTTTCTCTTCTCATTTTGTATTCTGTATCTCTTTCATATTTCTTTAGGCCCTCCATATACATATATTCCCTATACTGCTCCAGCTAAAACAGAGCCCTCCAGCTCCTCATGGCGGCCAACATCCTCCCTGCAAAAAACCATTGGTGTATGGTACCAAGTACTAGCTTGGGTTGAACAATGTAATGAATTAGATTTTAGCTTATTCTCTTCCTTAATAATGTCCGCTACCATCTAATCCTCTTTATTAAACATGCCATTATTATTTGTGGGAAAGGGATATAATCTGTAGTTCATACAAAACCTTCATTTCTAAGGGACAGCAATTGAAGACAAGGAGATGATAAATAATTGTTCAACTAGGAATAGCAAAAAGTTAATGTGCAAGATGGATAGTAAAATACAAACTCATATCATCACAATTAATCACGTTCTAGAACGAATAAAAAACATACCTGGGCTAATATAACTTTTGGAAAAAAGTGAATCACCAATATTCACCTTCTTGGAAGAAAAACTCCCATCAAGTTCAACCCGTTTAGCCTGCTTCCCATCATCAAAGGCCCAAGCATCATGCCACTGTGGAGCGTATTCCAAGCCAGACAAGCTCTGAACATAATCAACTTGAGAGGATAAATCTGGTCCAGAGGTGGGCCTCGGATCATAAAAAGGTTCATATTCGACAACAGATGGGTTATCTTTGCCAACCATAGTAGAGACATAAGGGGAATAATAAGGCTTGACCTCCCCAGCATATGAAAACACATCAGTCGAAGTTTTAGCATTACTGCTCAAAGCAGACCAATTGGTACTAGGCGGGCTAATGGGCACAGACCAATCAATACTAGGCGGGCTAATAGGAGTAGGACTGGAATGTGCGAAAGGAAAGTGATCCATTATTTTGGAATCAATATTTAATTCAGGTCCAGGAGCAGAAGGATGTGGATATTGCCATGTTTGGCTATTGGGTGCAGTAGCATACGATGAATCCGAGAAACACAAAATTGGGATAGAACTGAATTTAGGGTTTGATCTTTCAACAGTAAACGGTGGGGCTAGAGCTGATAAATTTGAAGTTGATGACGATGAGTTTCCTCCCACTCCACTGCCCATAGACCCTAAACCTATCATATCTTGGTGGTAACAAACAATCACATCAACTGATCAATCAAAACCCAGAAAAATTTTACATCAGATTATGATTAATCAAATTCATATTCAAGAAACAAAAAACAAAAAACTATTCCATTAATTTAATAAATTTAAAGAATCGATCAAAACCATTATTAAGAAAGTAAATTCAAGAAAAACAAATCAAGAATCATGGATAAACAATGATTAAATAATATAATACCACGTATCTTGAAAGAACTGAATATTACGTAAGATTTATAACAAAAAAATAGTTCATATAAAATCAATAATTTGAGGGGAAAAGGGAAAGTTTAATGAAAATCATACCGGATAAGACGGGGTAGTGAGCTTTGAATCTCTCTTATGACTAATATAATAACTATTCTTTTTCCTTCTAAGCGAAGTGTTGCGAATCGGAGAGGTCTGCGCCCTGCGGTCGTCTTTTGTTGCTCTCGCTGGATTTAATTTAGTATTTACAAAGACATCCTTGTAGCTTCTTATAATTTCATTTTCAACCCGATGAAGAAGTTTATTAGCCAAAAGACCCCTAAACTGACATATTATTTCTTCAAAGTCCCTTTTCACGAACACTGCCCCTGTTTGGTAAGACTTAAAATTCAAATTTTAATATAAGTCAAAAACAAAGATTAATTTTAATCATGAGTGTCTTCGTTTCTTTTTGAAAATTGATTGCTTTCGGTGAAATAGAATTACAATTTCTAATTTTCAATGTAAATTTTTAGATAATTTTTTTTTAATATGGTTCGAAACAGACAGAGAAATTAAATTCAAATCTCATTGTCACTCATTTATTATAATTATGTGCTTGTGCTTTTTAAGTCTCGTCACCTACTATTTGCAAAAATGGCTCGTGTCAAAGCGTTGTTGAAGACGTAAATAACTTAAATAATTCATTATGTTCCCCATTTAACAATTTTTAAAAAAATGGTTAGAAAGTCGATGCACAAGCAATTGGCAAAAGACTTCGTTACTTTCTTTTCACAACCATGAGTGCAGGAGTTGTGCTTGTCACAACCATGAGTGCAGGAGTTGTGCTTGTCGTATAGGAAAAGTTGTAAAGGGTTTTTATAGGGGAACTTGTCATTTTCTCATCGAGAGTTGACAAAAAAAAGGGAAAAATACAACCATACAAGTGTTGCGCACCAGTAAGCTCCATGTACAGTTTTTCCGTGTACAAGGGGAATAACTAAGTGTAGAGAGGCAAACTCACTTCCTCATATTGTGTCTCCGCATTCTTGTATGCAGGAATCATTTTCGGATTTTCCGTGCCCTACAACCCTCAAAACTTTGGAATAATGTTACGTGCACATTACATTCGATATTATTCTTTACATTCTACCATGTGGCATTGTCTACACTATTAATTTTGAATCTTGAAATCACATCAATGTACTGCCACCCTCCACGTAGGGAAATATAATGCTAGATGTGCACAAGAATTACAACTAGCAAAATTCCAAACTTTGAATGTCTTTAAAATTCTCAAAATTAAAATTAAAGCATGTTTGAGAGTGTTTTTAAGTTCTTATAAGTTATCGAGTTTAGAGAATGCATGAATAATAAGTAGTAAATTATAGATCTTAAGAAATATATGAATAAAAAATATTTTTGACCATTTTTTTAAAAAAAAGTTACTTTTCCAAACATGCACTTGAAGATGCACGCAAGTTTCTAATGAATGAAACAATAAAAATAGTTGTACAAACAGCATTGACAATGTTGTCAAAATTCGAGCCTGTAAAATAAAATACAATTTTTAGAATAAATGAATGTGATGCTGCCGACACTCACTCACGCATGACCGTTAATTCTTTTAAAGAAAAAGTTAAAAACGAAAAATGAGGAGCGTCAAGAATCGACAGATAACACTGCCAGCTTGAAGCGGCCGACCATCCTAGAGATTGGACATGGCTTGGCCATACCACGTTGAACACATTCTCCCTGAAACTCATAAAAATATCCCAAATATCGAACTCCACAATTATTTACGTTTCAAAGATGGTTTAGAAGGTACAATCTCACCAAAATACAAAAGGAGATCGCTAACCCAATTCTATAAACCATACACAATTTACTTCTTTCTCCCTTCAATTTTTACTTATACTTTTTTCTCTTTCTAATAAATAAAAAAGCTAAAACAAAGCATTGTGGCAGTATAACCCCCAGTGGTTTCAGCATGCCTCGTCCCGTGCATATATTTGGTACGCAATACTGAACTGATCCCGTCTACCTTGAACTCCCATGAGAAATGCTCTGAAGAAGTTTTGAAAAAAATGTCTCCAAAGTAACAGTCGAATTTTGTTACTTCGATTATCTTCACAAAATATCATGTCCGACTCGAGCTGACAAACAATGGTCATAATATCATACGAGAACATGGCATTTTCACTGGCGAAAAAACCACGGTGAGTCGGGCATGATCAGAAAGTGAATAATCTTCCGGCCACATTCCTTTCTCTACTTCTACGGGAAATAGAATAGCATTCTCGACATTGAAACCTATAGTTTGCTCCGTTACATTGACATCGTCTCCGACCTCATTGCTCACTTCGTCTCTTTCCTCCGACCATGTTGTATTCCACATTCGTTGCTGAAATGCCATTTATATATAAGAAAAGAAGGGAAAAAGGTAGAAGCATGGAGATTGACATACTACAGAACAACTAAATCACTAAATGTGTAAATTCTGCTATGCTAAGCTTTATATAAAGATGTTAAAGTCTTCAAAATGATGTTTGTCTCCTCGTTTCCAATGAACCAACCCCGGAAAGCAATTCCAATTTAAGCAGGATTTAGAAAAGCAAATAAGATGCACAAACATAACCATAGTATGTAAAATATTGCTAAATAAACTAAAAACGAGATAATACCTTAAATTCGTTATAATCAATAACACCATTGCCATCAATGTCTGCTTGTACCCACAAGTCATTAGTCTCTTCAACACTCAGTCCATAGCAGTGACCGATCAAATTAAGCTGTGGGAATACCAACAATAGTGATTATCCATCTCCCACGCCCGGAAAATTTATACACTTACATAGAACGAGAGTATATACGAGTACATAAACTGAGATATCACGAACCTGTCGCAATGCTTCGCAGAAACCGGAGAAGGTAATGTAATCGCCATCACTATCAGCCTTCAGAAAGGCAAATGCATCGTCCTCCGTCAAAGAGGCTCGCCGAAGTTGATACTGAAAATGAAAGGATGAAAGTGTAGAATATAACAATTACTGGATATTACACCGTATTCATCATTGTGCAAATGAAATAATAAAAATCCAGCAAGAACAGAGAGTACAGGGGAAGATAGATTGAACTACATTTCTTAGACTTCAACGCAACAGCTTCAAATAAACTCTTAGGTTTAGAAGTTAAAACAGAATGATGCATAATAATAATAATAATAATAAATGGGCATAAAAGGTCAATATTATTGGTTTGAGAGTTTTACACCCTTTCTGGACATAGAAAATCAATCATTAAGTTCTCTATGAGTTGAGGCACTCATCACTCACTCTCCCCTTCCCTTCTGTCAACAGCATCATAGAAATTGATTCCATCCCCATCGTCTGTTCCCACTTCGTTTCTTCCAATACTGACGTAGGATACAACGAATAGAAAAAGATTGAGAAAAGAAAGAAGAAGATGGAGATGGAGATCAAGGGAAAAAATATAATTTTTATTAAATATCAAAGTTATGTATTACAATGAATAAGCCCCTTTTCAAAAAAAAAAAAAACCTTTTTAAAATATTAAAATTAATTTAATCTGAACAAACATAATTTGAATCAAAATCTATTTTATAATCCTATCTTTATTTTTATCTTGATTTTTCATCAATACTCTTGAATAAGATAAAAAGGAAAAATATATTAATCTAATTCCGTCATATTACTCTCCCTCTCAAATTGGAGCACAATATGTAGAATACATTATGGAGAACAAGCTTTGAGTATAATTGAATATTTTCATGCCAATGAGAGAGAAAATAATTTCGAGCTTGCTAGTACTTTTTCTTAATCGAAATTCTACATGCACTTGAAGTATGAAAATATGAGTAGGCTGGATGTTTTAAATTGTGCAAGTCTCTCTTTCTTCTACCTAAAGCTGAACTATTAGTTTGTGTGTTAAACCAACATAATTTCGACCCACTCAAATCCAATCCTACCTACCCCTTGGAAAATCTATACAAAAATTACATCATTCCTAGTTAATCCCTTTAGTGACAATGTGACAAAATAAAAGACCATCAGAACAATCGAGCCAAAAAAGGAAAGGACATCCCAAAGATAGGCTATATAACCTATAACCAACAGTTGACTATTTAAAATTTGACGTCACTGGAGAGGAGTATCGTGCTTGGCTAGGTTAACTAAAAGTAAAAAATACTTTAAGTAACTTTTTGTTCAAAATATATTTGGATATTTAATTTTTTTCTTACTTTCAATCAAAAAAGTTGTGAAAGTAACAGTAGATTACTGTAAAAATAAGTAGCTTGCTCATTTCCAGCTTTAACCACTAAAAAATATTTATTATAAAATTCATTTTTTACTTATAATCAAACAATATAATCTTAGCTAAATATGCTAAAAACCCAAAATCCAAACAAGTCCATGATTTTATATAATGCAGTATTATTGTGCACGGTCAGTTGACAATGATAGATATACCTAAAACCGGCAAAATAGGCGCACTGCATTACCAATCAACAAGCTATATTAGTTAATTTTCATTAAAAGAATCTAAAATCAGATTTATCTGCCCATTTTTCAATGTGGAAAGTTATCTAAATATCACTAAACAAATAAAATTGTACAATCGCATATAAAATTTCAGCTAAAATGCCCAGAAAAAATTAAACACATAACTCACTTTGAACAATGCAAACACTGCTTCACTCCAACTCGTTTTCAGTAATTTTCCATATCTATTAGGATTAAGGAGCCATATAAAATCTACACCGCAGATGTTCCCAAGATGATTCCGATGGCTTACCCACTGCATAAAAGCATAAGCATCAGAAACAAGAGATTTCCGAGTCACGGGTGACTGAGATAATTAATGACCGTGGAGAGGAAAATTACCTTGTGATCATCTGAATCGCTGTACTGATGAGCAGTATCATATGACGATACGAATCCCTGAGATCTAAGAAATTTGTAAACATGACCCCTCTTGCTTCCATTCCAGTCACTGCAAGTTAAACACGTGTATTTGAGTATTATTTTGTACTCACTAGAGACCCCTCGTGAGAGCATGTATGGTACATAAAACAAGACCATTTTGGACAACACTAACGAACAACATTATTAACTTCCGTTCCTTATTTATGACAATGCTACGAAAGGAGAAAGCAAAAGGACACAAACGTACCCACAGAGTACAATAGGCATTGGACTGAGCTTGTTTTCTATTTGATATGATTCAATATATTCCAATATTTTGTAGACCTATCAAAGGATGCCATCATGCAAAATAGGATTACAAAACAATGTCAAAAGGAGCTAGGATGAACAGCATTCAGAAAAGGGTTTCAACATACCTGTCGCAGTCTTTCCAAGCACAAACTTGAATCATGTGGAAACAATAAGTGAGTGTTCACTATAAGTATTTCTCGGCAAAGATTGCTATTTCGACATTGTGAGGAGGGTGCAATAAGTTCAACGTGTAATAGCTGAGCAACACGGTCACCAAAATCATTGAAAAGCAAATTTTGATGGCTGATGACCCTAAAGTAGTCCTTATGTACAGCAGTCAAGAGACCTATAAAAGTTTAAGAAAAGAACTTTTTTATTGGAATTAAGAGCAAGACCATTTTAAAATAAAATGACGAGGACTGCAATAACATGGTAACATGTAAAAATTTATATTTTAAAATTAATATGTGAAAGTAAATTTGTAAATGAATCCTCCTATCTCTATAGCAGACAAGCAGATTATCGGGGGGTGTCCTCAATTAAAATTGTGATGAATTTTAAAAATCCTTCTAAATTTAAGTGTCTTCAATTGAGATTTTAATGAATTTTAATGAAATTCATTAAAATTTAGGTGTCCTCAATTGAAATTTTAATGAAATCCTTCAAAATTTAGGTATCTTCGATAACTGGTAGATTTATAAAAATTTTATTAATTGATGGAATTTAAAAGATTTTGATGGATTTCAAGCTTAAAAATACATATAACCAAATCTTTTGATATTTCACCATATTTAATGAAATTCTTATGAAATTTGTGAAAATCTATTTAAATCCACGAAATTCATTAGGATTTATAATCTTTTAAAATCCACCAAAATCTTTGCTGAGGACACCCCCGTTAATGAACAGCTTTAGAGGAACAGTGCCAACTGCCAACACCTTTTATTCAAAGATTATCGAACTTCATTTGACCTTAACCATATATATCAATAATTTAATATTAGTCGTTTCTATGATTTTGTATTTGTTATTGTATTTCTTCTATTCTTACACAAGGTTCAAAACGCATCAGCAATTCAGCCAATTTACAATCAAACATATTGGACTGACCACACCAAACGAACTCAGAAAATTCTCGAAAAATGACAAATATAAAAATATTAAAGACATTGAATAAGGCAATACAGCAAGCGTGCCAGTTTTTACATAAGAACATAAACGAAATAAAGGTCAAGAGAAGGGTATATTCCCAGGCAATACAGCTTGCTCTCTAGTCTCGGGGCAGCCAGATTTGACAGAAGAACATAAACGCAATAAAAGTCAAGAGATAACTGAAATTATAAGAACCAGGAGAATACCATCGCCGCGATTATTTGTCCGTGCAAGCTTGAAATTGATATATCCAGCATCACCAAGCCTCTTATCATAAATATTAACAAGCTCTTCATTCCCAACCCAGAATTCCTGTAACACCACACAAACCAAAAACTTAAGCATCATCAAAATTCAAATCTTTACTTCAAAAAAATTAGCAATTCAATAAAGAAAGATAACAAAACCTGAAGACAAATTATGGAAGATCTTTCATACAACAACCAATCCAAAATCCTATTATTCCTTTGTAACCAATAATCTTTCACGTCACTTTCCCTGCAAGTCTGATCCTGCACTTTCCCCAAATGTAAATTAAACAAAAACCCATTAAAAATCAACAGTTTCAAACAAAAATCACCATGTAAACGAACATATTAAAATAGGGCATACCTCGGGATTGAGTCTTTTGTAAATGGGGGCAAGAATGTTGAAGGTGGTGCAAGAAACACAAGTCGGGTCGATTATGGGTGCGTGTATTGCATAACTGCCGGGTCTTGACACCCTCCCTTTGATTATCTTTCCGTTCTTCCTACCCATTCCCTGAATATATTTGTATATATGTTTGTATGATTCTTGCAATTATCTGTGTGTTTCTTTACGGATGAAACGATGAATAGAAGGTGAGAGGGGATGCTTCAAGACAAGAAAGAAACCTGATTGACAAAAAGGTTTTTTTTTTAATGGGAAAAACAAAGATCCAATTGTTGTTTTGTTGGCTAAAATTGTTCGCTTGACTCATAACAATGTTAACCACCAAATGCTCAATATATAGATGAAAAAGTATAAAGAAGATAAGTGAAAGAATTTTGATTTCCAGTGAAAATTAGTGTGAAGTGTTTATGGCAATTCCGAATCTAGAATTACTATGGGCTTGCCAGTAGTTTCTCATTCGTTTTTTTTTTTTTCAAAAAAAACCGTGTCTTAAATCCCTGTTTGGCCCAGCTTTTCAAATTATAAACCGCGGATCATATGATTAGAAACATAAACATAAAACTTGATCAACTTATAATCTTTAAAAAAAAGTTTGGCCAAATATGAACTAGATGATCAAGAAATAAAGACAAATTTACATGTTTGGCTAAACTTTAAAACAATCTTATTTCGGTAGGTAGTTAGGATCACATTTAAATTATGGATAAATCTATATGTATATAATGGATTACATAGGCTTATGTGGAATAAATTCGGCCGTGAATGTGAAGTGTGGAAAAGTCAAAAATTGTAGACTACCGATGGATGCGCACCACCTGTCAATTATGTAATGTATTATGTAAATGATTATGTACTTGTATCATGATCCATTATATAGAGTTGTTCTTCTGCTCACGGTGTGAAATCTTATAATGTCCACTCGGAGAGAACCCAACGTTGGATTCTCGTGCCACATCAGCAGGTGGGCAATCTTATTCTGCCCACCGTTGGCAGAAGAACATTTCCATTAAATTATAATATAAAGAAAAAAAAATTATTATGGTTATGGTATAATGGATTTTT